GGGGGGTTTGGGGGTCCCGGGGGGCGGTACCTTTCAGGGAGGTCTCCACCAGGCGCAGGTACAGCTGGCTCTGCTTGTTGCCGTGGCTCATGCGCTGGCCCAGCCCGTCGCGCTGCAGCACGCACTCCTCGAAGCGCACCACGTTGGGGTGGCGGCGCCGCAGGCTGGTCAGGGCCCAGAACTCGGCCAGCGCCAGCTCCACGTTCTCGGGCGCGTCGCAGCGGATCCGCTTGACGGCCAGGCGGGCGCCGCTGCGGCCCGACACGGCCTCGTACACCACCCCGTAGGAGCCGCGCCCGATCTCCGCCACCAGGCTGTAGCGCGGCGCCCCGGCCCCGCCGCCCGCCGCCGGCTCCATGGGGCCCCTCAGCGCCGGGCCCCGCTCCCGCTCCGGCCGCCGCCTCCGCTCGGCCGCGGGCCTTTGTGTCCCTCTGCGGCCGCCGTCCGCCGCGGCCGTTTCCATGGCTGCTCCGCCGCGTGGGGCCCTGGCTGCTGCCGCCCGGGACCCCCACTCCTCATCCCTCCGCCCGGGGCGCGGGGAGCATAGGCCGCCTCCGGGAACCGGAGCCTGCGAACGACACAAGCCCGACAGGCCGGGATTGAGACAGGGGGCGTGGGACTCAGTCGGAGGACAGAAAAGCGCGCCCTGCCTGCCCCTTTAAGGGCTGAGCCAATAGCGGCTGCCGAGGCGGGTGAGGCCGAACCATTCTGGGGGGGAAAGGGAGGCAAGAAAGGGGTCGCCCACCCCAAACGCCTCCAAGACAAACAGGAGCCGTTGGTTCCACGGGCAGCTCGACAAACGCCAATTAAAAATCCTAGTGGGGCATTACGAGCCTTGCCAAGCGTTACCATTGGCTCAGCTCCCAATCCATTGCCTGGGTTCCCCCCCCGTTTAGAATGGTTTGTCCCCCGAAGTGTAAACACTCCATAGCGGGCTGCCGGGAGTTGGGAGAGTCCATTATGCACCAAGGGGAGGGGGAGAGAGGAATCGCTCATTTACCTGTCTCCCTCCCTGCCCGTGTAGAGCCCACGCGGCTGGGCCTGGAGCCGCTGCCGGGCACGGGGCGGAGCTGCTGCTGCGGGGGGGGTCACACCGGGCGGGGCGGGGGGCGCTGAGAGGCGGCGGCGGCTGCCGCGCTCCCCCCCTCCCGGCCGCGGTGCTGGGGTCTGGGCGCTGCGCGCGGACAATGGGGCTGAGCGGCGGCGGCGGCTGGGCTAAGAGCCGGGGCGCGACAGCCCCTTATGTAACCCTTATGTAACAGCGGCCGGCTCCGGGCTGGGGGAGGGGAGCCCTGAATCCGCCCTCCGGCGCGCGGGGGCGCGGCTGGCAGTGGCTGCAGTGGCGGCATGGGGGGGTGAACGGGGGAGGGGTGTGCAGTGATGGAATGGGGGAGGGGTGTGCAGTGCCGGGATGAGGGGGGTGAACGGGGGAGGGGTGGGCAGTGCCGGGATGGGGGGGGGG